AGGGAGAGCAGGAGAGGAAAAAAAGAAAGAGAGGCAGGTCGCGCCGAGCGGACCTGACAGAAGGGATGGAACAAGAAAGCCCTCCATGATTTCCAGCAACCTAATATGGTGCATATAGTTTTTAAAAATATATTCTTTCTTTTTCAGATGAAAATATGTCTTTTGCAGAAACAGCATTCTTATGCCATATTAACAGCAGATGAACTACAGTAGAAGTAAGCCTCAGTCCTACATGTACTATGCCATATTTCATTCAAAGGTACTGTAATTTGTGTGCCATTTTAATAGATATTTTCATCCCATAGTTTCTCACAGTGCCTTGACTGCATTCATTTCTAGCATCTGTGACTGTGTTTGTATGCAGAAGAATTTTGTTTGAGTAACTCATTTAACTCAGTTGTGGGTTGACTCATTCAAATCATATACAGTATCTCATTTTGAATAGCTCATTTTGTGAATATGGAAAACCTCAGTTGGTCTGTCTGGCTTTCTTCCATTACCATCCAGACCCCTTCATGTTTTGCATGCTTTATTGTGTTGTACTGTTGATTTAATGTCAGATCAATAAAATTGCAGTTTTGCCCATCAGTCTACATTCTACACAAAGTAAACTGTGTTTTTGGAATCATTTGCAAAATTATTCAAACTCAAAAACTAAAATCTATCATTTCTATATGTCCCTTAAGACAGTGCTTTGTAGAAACCCTTTTGGCAGCAATTAAAGCGTCCTGTTTTCTTGGTTAAGCCTCTACAAACTTTGCACAGCTGGATTTGGGCAGTTTATCCCATTCTTTCTCCATCAGATTGGATGAGAGGTGTAAGTGAGCTGCCATCTTCAGATCTCGCCACAGATGTTCTCTAGGGTTTATGTCTGGGCTTTGGCTTTGGGGGATGCCTGGGTAGAGTGTGCAGGAGGCGGGACATGACGTGGTGACGTAGCCAGTTTGTAATTTGGTCATAAACATCTTTCTTGCTGTGCCTTAAATTTGTTTAATAATTAATGACAGAAATTCCTCAATCTTGTCATATCTCCAGTTGTTGTGGCAGCATCTTCATTGTAAATTACCATTCTTCTTTATCACTGAATGTTTGTATTCTTCCAGTTTCACAGCAGTCACATGATAGAACGGCATCAACATGGCCACTAGCTCGGTGGGAATACTCTGGACTATACAGTATTCTCATATGGGCTCACTTTAGCTCAGTCAGACTTTATGCCAACTTTGCACTAGGGAGCTGGCAGAGTAAAGTCCACTTAATGTCCAGCAAAACTGGCTCGAACATTTGTGTTTCTCTG